CCCTTAATTCTGCTTTTTTGTTCTAGTAGATCAGTGGTGAGAATTCTATCTTCTGCCTCACTGGTTCTATGTTCTATCTCTCCAACCCTGTTCAACCCTCCATAATGTTGACAGCATCTGAGACATTGGTCCTCATATTTTGGATTGTGGGTTCTTATTTTTCCAGAGCCTTTAATGCTGTACTTGTTTTATCTGCATTGTTTTGCATTGTTTTCCTAAGGTCCTCCTGTTTTTTGCTTGCAGTGTCCTTTAATTCTTCACTTTGTCTTTCACCCATTGAAAATATTCAATCATTGTTCTTTTAAATTCTGTGTCAGAAAGTTTCATCAGACTTTCTGGCTTTAGGAAATCCATTGATAGTGTCACTCTTTTGGGGGTGACATCTTACTCTGGGCTTGAGTAGGGGAGGAGGTAGCCTGCTTTCTATGTGACATTACTGTCATAGAGTTTTTCATGTCTCATGCAAGAGTGAGTTCTTGATCTGAAGTCAGTGTTCCAGCTACTCTGCCTAGATTTTTCTCTGTCTATTGACCCAAGGGAAGACCTGATTCAGTTTGGTAGAGAAAAGAACTGTGAAAGCAACCTTCTCTGTCAGACAACTGCTGCAGCTAGCGAAACCCTAGGTACTCCAGGCTAAAGGCAGTTGACGGACTGGACATGAGGAGACACAACATGGAGCACAGACATGTGATTGGAAAACCAAGAAGCCTTGGTTTTCCCTTCAAGAATGAGCTTCAGCTCATTTCTCTCTTCTGATTGGTACAGCCAAACAGCAGTGACTTCATGCAAAGTACCTTGCTCAAGTTCTAGAGTTGCTCCTGGCACATATTGCTCTTGGTGCACATCACTACTGGTGCACATTGTGTCAGGTCCTGGTGCTGTCATTGATATCAGGTGGTCCTGGTGTAGGCCATTGGTATCAGGACAAAAGTTCCAGGCGTGGGCCTCAGTGTCAGGACAGTAGTTCCTGACATGGACCAGCAGCCAGTTTTGCATTTCTCAATATTTGTCGAATTCCTCTAGTATTTCATATATTTTTTTTTTCTGCTATTATCTCTTTCATTTCAGTTGACTTTCTTGTGAAGTAACTTCTTTCATTTCTTATTTGGATTATTTGTGTCTTTTCTTTCTTTTTCTTTCTTAAGTTTGACAGTGGTTTGTCAATTTTATTGAACATTTCTTTTTTTTTCTCTTGTTAACACAAATATTTATTGGTACTATTTATATATTGACCATTTCTAAGAGCTAACTCTGCTCTTATTGAAAGTTTCAATTGTTTTGTTTTTTTCTATTTTATGCCCTAATATTTATAATTTCCTTTCTTTTAGAGATTGTCAGGGCACTTGCTATTCTTTTTCTATTTGTCGGAGATATTGGATTAAATAGTTAATTTTCATCCTTTTTTCCCTTTTGATATGTTTGTTTATTGCTATGAGTTGGCCTGTTGGTACTGCTTTTGCTGTATCCCACAGGTTTTGCTAAGTTGTAGTTCATCCTCATTTATTTCAAGAAATGCTTTATTTCATGTTTTATGTTTCTTCTATCGTCCACTGGTGTTTCACTAGTGTGTTACTTAGCTTTCAGGGGCCTGGGGTTTTGTTTTTTTCTCCATTATTCTTTTGTTGATTTTTAATTTAGTAGCATTGTGGCCTGAGAAAATGCTTTTTAGTACTTATTTTTTTTAAATTTATTGAGGCTTGCTTTGTGACCTAAAGTATGGATAATGTTTCCCCTGCACTGGAGAAGAATGTGTATTGAGCTTATTTTAGGATGCAGAATCCTCTTTATGTCTTTGAAATTGAGCTGAATAATTGTATAGTTTAGTTCTTTTGCATCTCTGCTGAGTTTCTTTCTAATTATCCTGGCTCTCCTGGAGAGTGGTATATTTAATTCTGATACTCCTATTGTGGTGTTGTCTATTTATTCAATTTGGTTAACATTTCTTTTGTATATTTTGCAGGCCTATCACTTGGTGCACAGATATTTATTATGGCTATTCCCTCTTGTTCTATTGACTCTTTAAGCATCATAACAGTATTCTTCCTTGGAATTTATAATAATTTTTGCCCTAAAGTCTTTTTTGGGTGATTTTAATCTGTGGCCCTCAGAACTGGTTTTAATTGGTTTTGATCAACCATTCTTCTAAGTGGTATAACACTGGTCTGTCCATTTGCTGTACAGAAGAAACTCATGGTTGCTGTGATGCTAAAAACTGTGACACTGATGTGTCAAATGTGATAATGGTTAACCATGGTGAACAACAGTGTTGGGTGGAGCGCCCCGATTGAAACAAGCTTGGAAGCAGGAGTGGCATCCACTTCCAAAACAGCTTGCCCCCGAAATAGCTTGCCTTCCAAAACTCTATGAACTTGGAGAAACAATGAAAGTTATACAAGTTTTCAGGTCTTTCATTTATAGGGTCACTATGAGTCATATATAATACGATGGCACTTAACAACACAACAACGACAAAGTCTATTTTATCTTAGCCATATCAAATATTGTTATCCCTGCTTTTTTCTGGTTTCCATTTGCTTGGTATATTTTTCCCCCATTCTTTGATTTTCAGTCTGTCTTTATCTGCATTTCTCAGATGTGCCTCGTGTAGACAGCATATTGATGAACTTTGAGGTTTTTACCCAATTTGCTACTTCCCCCCCCCCAAATTGGCATCAGGTGGTCCTGGTGTAGGCATTTAAACTGTTCATTTTCTGTGTTATTATAAGAGGCAAGATTTTGTTGCTGACATTTGAGTTCTTTTTTGTTGTTCTAGTTACTTTGATCTACTCACTTTTCTATGGTATCTCTGTGAAAAAAACTTCCTTTAGTTTTTCTTTCAAAATTGGTCCTTGAATTAACAAACTTCCTTCGTTTCTATATTTCTAGAAATATTCTGATCTCTTTATCATATTTGATGGACAATTTTTTCTGGCTACAGTATTATCATTTGTTAGTTGTATTCTTTGAATGTTTGGTATATGTCATTTCACTGTCTTCTTACTCTCAAGATCTCTACTGAGAAAGTTTAGTCTTGTTTGCTCACCTTCATTTCTATTTAGAAGCTTTCAGAATTTTCTCTTCATTTTTTATTTTGGTGAATTTGTCTGTATGTCATGGTGTTTTGCTTCTGGAGTCTATTCTGTTTGGGTTCTCTGGAATGTTTCTTCAATTACTCTTCCACAGTTTTTTAATGCCTTTTTTTTTCTTTTCTGTGTTCTTTAATTCCAATTATATGAATGTTATTCCTTTTGATGTTGTCTCATATTATTATGAGATTTTCTTCATACTTATTTCTGATTTTTGCTCTAATAGATCAGTGCTGAGCCCTCTGTTTTCTCTTTTAGTGATTCTGTATGCTCTCTCTTTAATTATTTTCATCTTTACCCTCAACATGTGGACAGCTTCTGAAATATTGGTCTTATTATTCTATATTTCTAGTTTATTTGTTTTGTGTTTGTTTGTTTTTACCCTGTACTTCCCAGTGCTTTATTTGTTTTATCTGCTTTGTCTTGAATAGTTTTGTAAGTTCCTCTAGATTTTGTCTATATCTTCCATTTTTACTTTCACTCAGGTCAAATACTTGATGAGTATTCTTTGAGTTCCATGGCATCACTCTTTACTCTTCCAGGAGCTCCACTGACTTTGTTTTGGTCTGCTTTTCTTTTTTTTTTTTTCTTTTAAAGTGATAACTTGTTTTGATTTTTTGCAGAGTTTAAAGTTATCTGCTTCTTTTGTGACATTGTGGTGCTCCAGTTCAGGAGCAAAGGAGCATAAGTCTCCTGCCTGTCTGGGTTCTTGGTGGTGTGGCCTCCAGGTATCCTCTTCACTGCTGACATTGAGGGCAGCAAACAACTGATGTGGAGGTCACTGAGTGCAGCTTTCAGACCCTCTGATCACTGCTTGTCAGTGGTTACAGAACAGACTACTGGATCTTACCAAGTTGCTGATGGAGTCACAGGAGACAAATCTCAGTCAGAGACAGGTGTGGATGTGATTTCTTACCCACACTGCTTACTGCTTTCAGGGACAAAGGGATGTTGTTGGTTCGCTCTCTGCTGCTGAAGTAGGTACCTGGAGGCAGGCAGGTGTGGCTTCCCACCGTTTTTTCCTCATTTGAGTTTTTGTTTCTGTTATCATGGCTGTGATTGTGGTAAAGTAAATAAAATTAAATCATCTTTATAATCTTCAATCTTTTCTCTATCTGTCATGATGTTGTTTATTGGTCCAGTGGTGAGAATTTTTGTCTTCTTGATATTGAAGGGTGTGTAATCCACATTGAAGACTGTAGTCTTTATTTTTCAGTAAGAGTTCATTTCAAGTAATCAGATAATTCATATAGAGAAAAATAATGTTGTCTTGATGATTTTTCTCCTTTTATTTCAGAAAATGAACAACCAGAAAGTTCAGAGAGATAAGAAATACATAGAATATTATTTGGTCTTGGATAATGGTGAGGTAACTATACAAGTATGCCTTTTAAAACTCCAATCTGTAGACATTTATCATGTAAGACAGTAAATGTTCTGAATAAATTCTGAAGAATCATGAAATTAAACAATGGTTACACATTATTTTGAATCTATAAAAATTTGCACTTAAAATTCAAGTAAAATTATATATTATTCTCTAGTAAATGTACCTTATATGAAAATTTGAATCATCTGTGAATCAGAATTTATGACAAGCAGATAGTTGTTGTTGTTGTTCCTATGTAATGTCAAGTTAGAATCAACTTATAATTGACCCTACTGAGGGTTTTCAGAGACAGTTGTGAGCGGAAGTTGCACATCTTTATCCCATGGGGCAGCTGGTATATTTGAACTACATGCCTTTGGGTTTGCAGGGCAACTCCTTACCACTTGGACAAGAGTACAAAACAATGAATGAAATCTTTTAAAAAGTACAAATATTTGGTAATAGTTACTGTTTGGTTTTATAAGAATGCATTGAATTTTCTTTTAACAATGCCCATATGAATGATAACAAAAAATAAACTTTGTGTCTTTAAAAAAAATATGAGTAAAAATATTACTTTGAGTCCTAAGATTTTGGCTTCTCTGTTATATTGAATTTACTCCATGTATTTTTTATAAAATA